AGCTGACACTTCATCCGTGATGCGTCCACGGGGTGAGATGTAGCTGCCCAAGTAACAAAACTAATCCACTTGCTCTATTACTTCCCTTGTTAGAGTGAGGCTGGGTGCTGGACCAACACAATCCTTTAACATTTGACACATTGAAGGTGAACAATTACCGAACATCGCTACGCTGGCACTCAAACTATCCAGAAAATCTTGCGACCTACTTGGATCTTCACTTGGTAGCACAATGTCGTCTGCATACTCTAGATCAGATAGCCTGCCATCCGGGAGTCAATCGATGCTACTATCCTCGCAGGAGGATAAAGCTATTTCCATAATCAGATCTATAACAAAGTTAAATGGAAAAGGAGAGAGAGGGCAACCCTGACGAACACCACTTTTTGTGGTGAACTCGGGCGAAAACGTACCATAAACCCGGACTCGACTTCGGCTATTAGTATAAAGCGATCGTAATATTAAAATAAACTTCTCGGTTACACACTTCAGTGACAGGCAGCGCCAGATTTTAGAGCAGTCGACTGAGTCAAAAGCCGCCTTCAAATCCAGAAAAGCAGAGATGGTGGGTCTACAAAAGTAATGTCGGTGCTCCAGAATTTGATGGAGAGTGAAGATGTGGTCAATACAACCTCGACCGGGTCTAAAATCAGCCTGGTTCTCGCCCGTACACCGTTCACGTGCGGCAGACAATCGACGGAGTATGATCTCGGCGAGAAGTTTAGAGGCAATGTTGATTAAACCAATTCCTCTATGATTTTCACAAGAGGATCTATCACATTTCTTGTAAATCGGTATGATTACCGATTCACACCATTCAGCTGGAACCTGTTCCCTCTCCCACACAGCCCAGGAGTTTTGTTAGCTCCAAAATCAAGGCTGAACCTCCATCCTTAAAAACCGATGGGGACAGCCCGTCGGGGTCGGAAGCCTTATGCCTTTTGAGATAACTTATTTCTCGGGTAACCTCCATTTCAGACGGAGGACTAGCATCAACTGAGAGTATTTGTCCTGTCAAAGTGGAGGGTGAAAGATCAGGTGTCGATGAGGGCCAGTTGAACTGAGCCTTGAAATGTTCAGCTTATCGATGAAGACGGCGTTGCTGATCGTGAATCAATGTGCCATCAGATTCCTTATTTACCTCACGTTTTTCCTGGGGCCTGTATTCCTAATTAGACGTAAAAGATTGCGACTATTACCAATAGCCGCAGCTTTCTCCATCTCTCTACACTTTCCTATCCGCCTCTTGTCGCGGTCATTCCTCTGACTCTCGATGAGCTGGCGTTTAAGGGATTTGCGCGCTGTCATATGTGGCATCCGAAGGCAGGGTTCTGTGGGCGTCCATCAGGGCAGTCGAGGTCGACGAGATCCATCGTTTGTATGTTGAATCAACGCCAGGGTCCGATGTTGTTTTTATTGATATTTGCATTGATTCCTTGATTCCAGCGTTCATTGAGTCCTTCGACTGGTGGCTGAACTGACAGGCGATTGGAAAGCTCCGCTTCGAAGGCCGATTTGAAGCCATCGCGAACGCTGTATCCGTTGACGGTGGCTTTTCTGCCGTTGTTTGCCAGGCGTAAGGTGAACTTGGCTCGTAACGGGGTGTGGTCTGTATCCACAGCTGTTGACTAGTAAGGGCGGCAGTCTTGAATTGATCCCCTCCAGGGTTAACTGCTGGCGATGTGGTCGATCTGGGTCCAACTTTGTGAAGAGGTTGGCGGTTTTCATGTAAGACTTTGACGTTTCTTGTGAAGCGTGAGCTTGAGGTTGGATCAGGAGAACGAGAGGAAAGAATGGAAGTAGGGTCTTGTATGCGTGTTTCGGAGACACAACATACATCTAACTTGAAAGTTTCAAGGGTTCTAGCTAAGGCAGGTTGTTGACCAATCTGGTAGAGTGTACGAACATTGAACGCGGCTAAGTGGAGAAAGAATTTCGGCTTCAAAAATCCTGTAACTTCTGATTGTTTGGTCTTGCTGCTGAAACGCTGAGTATTATACGGTGAGTCTTGTAAACAGAAGGCGTTTGGCCATATTCGGAATTGAGAAGCAGGACTAGACATAAGAAAGATGGTTTTCGCACTGGGTGCCTAAGACTTTAGGGCACGACATACTTCGCGGTAGCCCACACCGACGAAGGGGTTTTTCTTTGAGAATCCTAACCGGAGCCATTGACTCAAAAGTCTGACCCACAAGGCAGTGGGGCGCAAATCCAACGCGGGAGCGTGAACGAAGCACCCGTGTGGGAGCTTCCAGAGGCATGTTACCCAAGGCCTTTGGCTTTTGATTAATTCTGTTATTCGCTGGTGCGTTGATTATCGGTCCGCTTTTCGGGATCAGCCCTTAGCCTCATGCACCCAGTGAGACAAGCGGGACGTGGACGGGACAGCACATTATTGGCTGTGGGCTGCTCAGCTTGGGCGGGCGGTAGCTGTCCAATGAAGTGCGAAGACTTCTCTCACCGTCGAGAGGAAGCCCCAGGTACCCCGCTCCTACGTCCATCTAGCGGGTTTTTTTACCGGTTAACTGCCACTCACCGTGTTTATTTGCTGAAGTGACCTCTACAGGGGAGGGTGTGGATAGACGAAGGAAACCAGGTGCCAAAGCAGCTGGGCTTCGTCTGGCCTCTACCCGTTGACCTTTCAGGCATGATTGGATCTAAGGCTGTGAAAAGCCATCCTGTTTAACTCGTAGGGTCATGGAGGCACGCAAGCCATCAAACCACGTCAAGGTGCAGTCTCGTCGGGTTGAGTACGAGAAACCCTTTGTACCACTGGCTATGGTATATAAATTGCACCCGCCAGGGCGGAAATCAAAAATCTGAATCCATGAAAATTCGTTTGATAAGCAAATGCTCTCACTTAATGTTTTACCAGTGAATCATCGAATTAACTTAGAAAACTAGTCGAACTGTCTATGGACAAACGATGTGTGCACATACGCACGGGTAATTCAACGTTGCAACATTTACTCATGACGATGGAATTGTCATATAAGATGTATGCCTAACTCGTTGTGATAACGGTTTGATCAGACGGTCACTGCATAGGGAGGCGACGTGGAATGGGCAGTATATTCATTTCCGTAGCTTTGTACCACTCAATATAAAGAAGAACCTCAAACTCTATTTGGCCAACAGAGCGAGAAAAATAGGTCAGAGGCTGTGCTGGTTGATGAATTCCTAAATGTGTGTAATATCTTGAACCAGAATGGGTCACCGGAGCGCTGGGTGGAATCTGATGCGAAGACACGAGGCGTTCCCCAAGAGGGTCCTTGCTGATAAACAGTGTACATATCTTTACCATTTAAAGATGACATCTTAGCAATGAAACGCTCTACATAGCCAAGCTGCAAACTAAATTCACACCCAGCCCGTTTGTGTATCTTCGGTTGAAGAATATAATGTCTGATTCTGCTACGTGTTTCCTCTTTCACTGCTCCTGTAAAACAAAGTATGTTGTCCGCACGACCAAGGTTCTGTCAGAGCTTATCCGTGAGCATCCGTGGTGGAGAAGTGAAGGAATTAGGTCAATCAGAAGTACCATTGTGTTGCCCCTTGTTGACACTAATCACACCGTAAACGTGACCGACGCTTTCCGACCTCGGTACAGAGTTAGAACGACACGGTCCAGACACGTGCGTCAGTCGGCATCCGTCTCCACGAGCCCCCTTTGCGTGCTCAAAAACAATGTGTGTGAGATCTCACGGCCTGATTGCCGACAAGCGATGCGTCATTTAACATCCAAACAAATGACCCTTGACTCCCAACGAGGCCAGGTCACCCACGGGCAATTAGGGACCAATTATGTTGCTAACTTTTGAACATTTTAATTACTTTCATTCGTAAATCTCTATATGTGACTAGTCATATATATTGTGTTGTAATGGCATAATTGAGGTGCACTGAAAATGTGCTTGTTTACCAATTTCAAGTTCTCATCATGAGTATGTGGAACTGTTTAGACATTATTATTGTTGTGATGTCGGCACCATGCTTGCCCGCAAGCCGGTGATGTGTACACTGCACGATAAGTAAACCGGTTGCGTCAGTATCTTTTGGGTGCACAAAACGAGATGATGTTATCGGATTAGCCTTGTTAGTTGATTTGCATTGCGGTTACGTAATATTGGTTAGAAAGAAAAAGCGCAATCAGTTACGTGTTCTGCAACGGGTGGCCCGGGTCGTTATAACCGCCCGNAGGTTGTCATCGACTTCGCTAACCACTGCAATGAGTCCGGCCATCAGTTATGATGTCAAATGGTGTGTTCTGCTATGTACGCGTCATATGTTTTTAAACGACCAGTTGAAATCGCCAGACTGTTCGACGCTTTACGATGGCAGCTTTCTCCAAAAATTTATCCTAATTCTAGCCTCAATCATGATGGTCTAACGAATGAACCGTTTCGTATTTTTTTCTGACTCCCCATCGTTTGAGTATCTAATACTTCGACTTTTCTGTTTTTCAGATTTTGCGCTGTTGAGAATTAGATCTATGGTGGCGAATTCGGTGCCGGACATGAGTATACTGAACTCATTTGAAGAACTTGCAAAAAGTGACTCGAACTACGATGTGCTTCTCCACGTAAGTACACGCACGCGCCGTTCGAATGATCGAAATCTGTTTAACAGGACGAAATCTCCTTGCAAGGTCTCGTGTTATTGTTATCCAATGAAGATCACTCAATTGTCTCCATGGTGTTGCGAGTAAGCTACCGATTGAAATTTCCGCTATGTGACAGATATTTTCCGCTCTCCGCGACCGGGACGGTGCTAAACCTATCCTACAAACATTGCTGGGGTTGAAAGAACAACTGGAAGTTGTAGTAGCATCTCATGGTTCCTCGACCGTGGAGGAACACAAAGAGATCACACACGCAGCAAATGCATTATTGCAGAGTCTGAAAAAGGAGGTCTCGGTGCAAAATCGACAATTTTCACCTGGGTTTCGGCCTCGGAATATAGTTCTCCGACTGTATGGTATTTCGTCTGAGGTAAGTTGACTGATATCCAGCTGTAAAAGTGAAATGCGTTTGAAGTATGCGAGACTTAGCTAAAAGTTGCCCAAATGACAGCAAAGCGATAGTTCTAGTGCAAAATTCGTGTCGTTTGACCTTCTAAAACATTTCGTATCCTCCAACGGTTTTAAAACAGTGTGATAATTTACCCACGGATCCACATTATAAACCAACGATCACAGCGTTCGTTGATTCCATTGAGTGGATCATAATGATGCTTGGTTTATTTCTTCGCAAAGAAATGTCCGAGTAGCTCATCAATCTGTTGAAGTCATTGTATTCGAGTGATTCCTGTCTAGGCACCGCGTTTGTAATTGGCAGGTCGCTTTGTTTTTTTCATAACCGAATTATCGGAGGAAGATCGGAGTGGTTTCGTAACAACGGTATTGAATGGGTAGCAGGGAAAAGAGGTTCGATCTCCGTTCGTTCGAATACATAAAGGACGCGCCAAGCAGCTCAACAGTTTTGTTGCTTCATTCTTAATCGTTTTTGTTTTTTCAAAGTGATGCTGCAAAACTGAGTGTTAACAACTCTTGCTCTGAATCTCGGCTCAGTTTGTACGGCCGTCAACCGTGCACATTCGCGTGCCTTTTTTTTGTTGAGTACATAGCGGTATTCGAACACCGACAGTCAATCTTTATCTAGTTTTGGTAATGACCAAGTGTCTACCCCGTTTAGCAGAACTGGCTAAACTACCGCGGTATACGCTCAACCCTTCAGACAGCCGGGATCACCTGTAGCTGATTGCTTTTCCTCCATCGGAAGTTATGTGAATTAGCACGCTACTTTCTCTTTTTTGCGAATACATGTGCACTGAGAAGTTTTCAAATATCCCTCTGAGCTCGAATGAGAAATACTTTCGGATGATGGTGAATGCTGTCAGTTGTTCCGTATTCCTATGATTGCAAAAATGTATTTGTTTATAATAAACATCCCGTATTGTTTGGAAATTATTGTTGGAGGGGATACTTCAGTTTGTTATTGCCACGGTTTTATGTTACGGCTCAATCTCAAATGCCTAATTGCGTGCTGTATTTCAGTCGGACGTTGAGCTTGTACGCGAACGACTGCTGAAAGTTCGTGGAGTAGTGAGCGTCACATTTCAAGTGGCCAAACGTCGTGCTATCGTATGTGCTGTGCCGAACCTCGATCCGGCACTCCTGGTTTCTGCGGTTCGCTCTGCAGAACAGGCGAACACTGTACGCGAGGAACCTCAACCCTCAGATATCCCCATTCAAGCTCGTATTGTGCGCAAGCGTAGTCAACTGTAAGTCCTCATCGTTTGTTCTTCCTAGTTCCGTTTGTTATATAGTACCCATAGACGACCATTTGGGAATTGATGAGATAGAAAGAAGCAACCATTTTTTAAATTACAAAGCGGAAAATCCCTATGGTTGAAAAGCATACTGTAAATGGGGGAGTAGGAAAGGAGGGGGGTGCATTCAAAGATTGGAAGTTGAGGTGAAGGTAGTTTAAGCTTTTACAACCAACAAACCACCGTGCACTTTCGTGCGCCGGTTTTAATTGCTGTCCACTTCGATGAAGCAGTAGGAGATTGAAAGTAGAGTCGAAGAGAAAATTGAGAACTTCAGTGGACAGTCATCTTCATCATCGTACAGCGAAATACAATGAAGCGAACTTCGCTGATCACTGCCAAACTCACAATGCA